CCCTGGCGGCCGTCGGGGCCGTCCCTGCGCCCGGCCGCGCTCCGGGGCCCGGGGACCCGCCGCCTCCTCGGGGCTCCGCGTTGACGCCGCCGGGCTCTCCTAGTACTTGGAGCAGGGAAACTTGGGCCGGTGCCCCCAGACTGTCCCTGCCCCAGTGACACAGGTGCAGGAAAACAGAAAATCCTCCTAGCTTTGGGTGTGAATCAATAACGTGTTTTTGCGAGGCTCTTCTTGATGCTACAGGCAGCATTTTATGATTATATTTAGATATGTTTCCACATTGGGAGGGTGGGGACATTTTCACCTATCAAAATGAACGAGTGCTTTTCCCCTGATATGAGTAACCTTCTTTACGAGATGACATCGAGACAAAGCTGAGATCGGTAACACCACTTTGACACTGGGACTCAGCTACACACATTCTGTAGCATTATTTTACATTATCCAATATTAAGTACTACACTAGTGTTTTTGTTGTTGTTGTTGTTGTTTTTGTTGTTATATATCCACATTGCAGCATCTGTGCAGGACATGTGCTTACATGAACACAAACCACAGATAAGAATCATCTGCCTTTGAGGCTTACGGGGTATGAGTGAATGTGCTGTCTCTTCCACATGAAGAACTAATGAGAAGACAGATGTATAGTGCAGACAGGTGTCTCTCACCATGCTGTACATTATTCCAAAACACAAGGGCCAATTCCTGTGTCAAAACAGGCATCAGGGCAGGAGGGATTTCAGGCCAGCTCTTTGCACAGATTTTGTGATAGGGGTAGGAGCAAGGATAGAAGGAAAGTGAGAAAGGATGCTGTTGCTTGGAATGACCAGGGCATTAGACAGAAGCAGGAAAATCCAGGTGGAGGTTGTGCAAACCTGCTGAGGATGCTGCTTCATAATAGCTCACCTGTGAAACATCACCCATATCTTGAATCAGGGGGCACTTGGGGCTAGTAAAGCCATCAGAGAAGACGAAGGCATTTTAGATGCGAAGATCCCTGTCAAGGCATCGTCACAGAATGATGTATGTTCTGGGACTGGCCATATTTAATACTTCTCATTATGGTCCTTGGCACAAAAAGTAGGAATATGCTAATGACATGGAGTTGAAAGTCATCAGCAGTGCAGAATAAGAGAAACTGGGTGACCTTGAGAGTGATGTAACAGAAATGTGAAGAAAAATGGTAATGCAGCCTGGGGGAGCCCTTCCCTCCACACTGCTCCTTCCCTGCTCCCCTGTGTGTGCAGCAGCCCCTCACTCGCTGTCGCGGGAGCAGTGTTACCTACCGAGAGCTGTGCGGCTGGGAGGGTAACCGTGATGGAGACTCAGTGAAGACACATTTGTGGCCAGGGCCCCTGTGTGCCACAATGAGGAGGAAAGCACAGCAAAATGTCAACCAAGCAGTAAATTTATGGGTATTATACTTGGCCATTAAAGGGGGAACAAAGTTTGCAGAGGAGGGAAGGATATTTGTTCTTTCATGTGATTGCTGAGTCACTCTGTTTGTACAGGCAAAAAATGTTCAAGAAATAAAGTAACTTTCCATGGGTGGGTAAGAAAATGCATTTGTCCTGCAGGGCTAGGGAGAGAAGAAACCAACAGCATCATGTCCACAGGCAGGAGATGGTGGTTACACTGCTTGTGTTTTTACTTGCAGTTTGTCATTAGGAGCAAAGTGGTCTCAAGCATCATTTTTTTTAACAACTCTGTGGTAGTCTGCGTTTATATTTAGAGCTTTCTAACACAATGCACCTAATTATATCTTTAAGTTAGAGCACCGTGTTACAGGGTTATAAAAACAAAGACTATTGAATGCCTGTAGGCTGTAATTTATATACAGAGTTTAGTTTCTTTTAAGACTGTTCTGATCCCTTCAAGATAACTTATTTCTGTGTCCAATGAAGGCTGGAGTGTTGAAGGTATTAGCAGGAAGATTTCAACATTCCTGCATGAATTCATGTTTCTGCTTTGGTTTTGAGCACCAAGATTTCAAAGCTCTGGGAAATACTTTTTATTAAGTCTAACTTGCATTTAACATGTTGAAGTCCCCATCCACTGCAGCAAATACAATCACTGATGGAAAGTACCATGTGTATGCTATAAAATTTGCATTTTAGAACACACAACTTTTGTAGGTGAAGTTATCAGAAAATCTCCATCCTAACAGCTTCTAAAGGAAGCAGGCTACAAGTCACTCTTTTTAAGTGCAATAAACCTCTTTGAGATCTATTTTGTCTAACTAGGGCTGGGAAATCGTTTGCCCTTATTTGTGTTAAACAGAGGTATATACTTACTGCAAGTCGTTAGTGCTGTAAGGAGATTGCCTTCCTTTGGATAGGCTGGATTGGAGAATCAGGGAGTAAATTGCCAATAAATAAACAGTTCCTCTTGTAAGCTCTATTGATCCTCACTAAGCCACAGAAAAGGGTTTTGTTAGTAAAACTCTTCCTGAATGTCCAAGCAAGGTTAAAAAAAAAAATGTTAGTGATTCCTGAAAGATTGGTGGAGGGGGTTGTAGTCTTGATGCAAGTTTCCTGCAAATAGGACCGCAACAGATACACAGACACGGGAGGAAGCGGTTTTCTGACCATAGTTTCCCTTTGCAGTCCCTCGCTGCTGTGCTTTGCTCCACACCACCCTCTTCAGGGGGCAGCGCTCCTTGCCGGGCTCTGAAGTGCCGTGAATGGGTACGATGCTGCTCGTGAAATATGCCCAGCATCTGCATGGTATATTGAGCATGGGAAACACAACTTGACCAGGGCATTCCTTGGAAAGCTGTGGTGCAGCTACTAAAATTCCTCCTATGAGCAAAAGGGATATCAGGAAGCAGCTTGGGAGCAGAAATATCTGAGCTGGCTTGGAGAGGACCCGGGTGCAGCTCCAAGCTAGACAGTCAAACCTCCCCAAGGGGCCACAAGTGCCACCGTCACAGGATGCCTGGCCCATCCTGAAGGCCTGCTGTAATGGTATTCCCTGCTGGAACCAGTTTCAGAGATACTACTCCCATCATCGGCCATGCACATATTCAGGGATAAGATAAACAATATTGGAATTGCCTTGAATAAGAAATAGAGCAGGGACATTAAATTCACTTTATATGACTGCATAGTTGAGTTTTTTTGTTGTTGTTGTTCAAACCAAAAAAATGTACCGCATCTTGATCTACTGCTACTTCAGTAAACTGATTGCTTGAGACCAGATGAGCTCTGTAAGGGTGGGGCTGCCATCCATCACCAAACATTGACCACCAGGAATATATTTTTAACAGGCTCATGTACAAATGACATCATGAATTCAGAAAGTTTCAGGATATGTGTTGTATTTATTACCTACTGTCTTATTTATGCACTTCTCATCATTAAGGCACATTACAGTCAAATATATTTAAGAAATTACACGCTACCTGGTTTTGTTTCTCATGTTTGTCTCGTAGCTTTTGTTTCAAAAACTCTGCAGAATCCATTACCTTTCTTCTTTTCTGATTTTATCTTCTCTAGTTTCTTCCTTCCTTCCTTCCTTCCTTTCTTCCTTCCTTCCTTCCTTCCTTCCTTCCTTCCTTCCTTCCTTCCCTTTCCTTCCCTTCCCTTTCCTTCCCTTTCCTTCCCTTTCCTTCCCTTTCCTTCCCTTTCCTTCCCTTTCCTTCCCTTTCCTTCCCTTTCCTTCCCTTTCCTTCCCTTTCCTTCCCTTTCCTTCCCTTTCCTTCCCTTTCCTTCCCTTTCCTTCCCTTTCCTTCCCTTTCCTTCCCTTTCCTTCCCTTTCCTTCCCTTTCCTTCCCTTTCCTTCCCTTTCCTTCCCTTTCCTTCCCTTTCCTTCCCTTTCCTTCCCTTTCCTTCCCTTTCCTTCCCTTTCCTTCCCTTTCCTTCCCTTTCCTTCCCTTTCCTTCCCTTTCCTTCCCTTTCCTTTCCTTTCCTTTCCTTTCCTTTCCTTTCCTTTCCTTTCCTTTCCTTTCCTTTCCTTTCCTTTCCTTTCCTTTCCTTTCCTCAATCTTTGTACTTACAGCATTAGCAATGCTTTAATAGATTGGTTTTCTTTGGGATATTGGTTAAATATTTTCATAGACATTTAAAAGATGAACCAAGAATAATTTTTGAGTTGTGAGTAAGCAAAATGCTCGTGAGTGTTGTAAGCAGTCACTTGTGCTAAGCTTTATCTTTCTGTGCAATGTGCATTTCTTCCATATTCACCTATTATTGTTTGGAGCCATCCTTTTTCTGGAAGGACAGAAATGAGTTTGTGCCACCTGAGGGCACTGTGGTACCGTATCACTGCAGTTAAAAGAAAAGTGCGAGAGCACAGTGTTTGTGACAGTGCCCATTATCTACCTCTCATAGCTACCAAACACCGACCTTGAATAAATGCTATTGGAGTGAAGCTCACACCAGAAGAGCTGTTTCTGCAGATGGGCATCATGGAAACTAGGTCACCTTTCCCTTGGTGTTTCCTGTGCTCACTGCAAGGAGACGACCATGTTAAATCGATGCTGATCTTAGTGGCTGGCGTGGGGTCATCGGGGTGCCTGGCTGTGCAGCACACCACATCGTCCCCCAGCCTCCCACCACTGTCCGCACCACGGTCCCTTTCCCTTCTTCTTTCTCTGGCTCTTTTTTGGTCTTTTGGGTTCCCACTGTTCCCCATCCCAGCCACGGGGAAGGACAGGTGCTGCCTGGACACGTCCCTGCTGGGGCACGTGGGCTCCTTGCAGAGCAGCCCTTGAGCGGCCGTCCCAGCCCTGGCTGCTGCAGTGGCTGCTCCTGCGCTACACCAGGCATGGGGTCCCCAGGGCCCGGGCAGGAGACCAGCCTGGTCCCACCGCAGAAGCTTGGAGAGGATGCGGAACTCATGCTGAGGGTTTCCATGCCTCTGCTGTGAGGAAAACAGGCACAGAATGGGTTTTTGAAGCACATACATGATTCATGATATAAATTTCTGTTTTGATTTCATGTATTCATTTTAATTTTTTCTTTAGGACTCAAGCGTAGCAGCTATACCTTCCTGAGCTCTTGGGTGACTTGCTCTTAAATGAACAATTAGTTGCATTCTCTAAGGAACAGCGTTAATTTGCTAACATAACCTCATAACATTGGCAATCATTGCATTTTGATTAATTTTTAATTTATTGTTTTAGTGACCCAGGAATACAAGCTGGATCACTTCTAGGGATGACTTATTCTTTTATGAACAAAAAACACATAGACTGATCCACCTGAAAAAAAAAATATATCTGTATCCTAGTTAACTTGGCAAGGGAGTGTTCCTCTTTCTCCTACATTTGAGGCCAGAAGTGAAAGAGTTTAGCTTATTTTCCATAATAGGATTTCTTGGATGTACTGATGGAAAATAAAAAAATCATGTCAGATGGAGTAGTTTTAAAACTACACCAGAGTGACTCATATTTGGGATTATTCTGTAGTAAAGAAAAATGAACAAGAGTAATTAAGTAAGTTAGAAAGTTTCATATGCAAACAGAACTCTACCTTTAAAAGTTATGACCTGATCCTTATATTATGGACAATAATTTATATATCTGTATCAAGAATAGTTATCATGTATTGAGACTAGTTATCATGGTCTGGGGAAATGAGGTCAGATGATAACTGCACATGTGAGATATCTAAGGTTGGGGATAGCAAGTGCACAGGCTGATACACATTGCAATAGTCATAAATTATGTTTTTGTTATTAACAAATAAAGCATAACAGCACGAAAATACAAACATACACATTTTTGTTATAGGATTCCTTTAAAAAATAGTAACCGGTAAAGCAAAATTTCAGCTGTATAAATCATATCAGAATGGTATCTTCAGTCGGTCCTTTGTTATTTTGGCTTTGTTTTTTGAAAAACTTGCCTCAGTGTTGATGGAAGTCATATTATGGTATCCCTTATGACAATAAATACAGGGATTACATATGAGACAGGGATGCATTCACTGGTAAATGTCATGAGGGAAAATGTGGAGAGATGATGACCACAAAACCAAGACAGAAAGTCCAGTTTTGGGTCTCTATAATAGCAAGACCCTAGCCAGAGGTGCTTCCATGCTCACTAAAAGTAAAACCTCAGCCATTCTTGAACCAATATTTGATGTAGTGATAGCTTCTGTGATAGGAATGAGATCCAAGACTTGTCTTTTGGAAGCAACCTCCATGTACCACAGCAAGTATTTATTGAACAAAATAAATGTTAATGAAACTTATTCCTAGACTGTTTTCCCATATATGAAATCAGCAGACACTTGTCTCATGATATTGTTATTGACATAGAATATGGCCTTTTTTTCATGTGTTTTCCATATGTAAACTAGAAGTCTTGACTTTACTTGGACACATCCTCATGTGCTCTTTTTATCCCCTAGTATGCCAAATGATCAGCGCCTCATTTTTCCTTATGGCACTAATTTTTGCATATTTGACATCCAATTTGCCAAATGAATGATGACAGCAATCCTTTGTCTTGTACTGCTGCTTCACCTCATCCAAGTTTCAGTGTTTTTTTTTGGTGGGGGGAGATTCTCCCTTATCTCTTCAACGTTCTGCTTTAGTCTTCTGTAAAGATGAAAGACTGGCATTACTAATACTAAAATAATACAGTATAGCATTTCACGGTTGATGGTATAGTAATGAACTCCAATTTGGAAGAAGCAAAGTGCTGACAAATACAACCCTTCCCTGAAGAGCAGGCATTAAAGGACTGAGAAGCGGTTGCTGAAAGAGGAGAGGAAAAGGGTGGCTCTGAGGGACCTTCTCAAACAACAAAAAAAGTGAAAATTGTGAAAATTTTCCTTTTGTTTTTCCCTCCCTCAAAACAAACATGTAGAAAAGGACAACTTTAGTAGAAGAGGTGATTATAATGATAAACCGGATGTCTGTTAATAAGGGGGAAGGCAAAAAAAATCATGAGTTTAGAAATAAAATCTATTTTAAATGCTCCTCATCCATGAAGAAAATATTGTTGTCTTTAAATACGTTAGTCTCCTAATTTATTCTGAGAATATTACAATGTGGAAGACTGCCACATGCAACCAGCGTGCCCCTGTCTCAGCGCACACATGTGCCCCTCCTCAATGCAGGACGTGGCTGTTGGCTGCCACATCCCAGCCAGGCGCCCTGTCACTGCCCTGGTTCTGGATCAGGTCAGTGGCACCAGCCCACTGGTGTGTGTCCACTCATGTAATGTGCCCGTGGTGGCACTCAGGCTGCTTGGGAGTTTTCTATTAAAATCATGTCTCAGAATATCTTCTCGTATATTTCTGCTAATAAATTCTCTTTCTGTTCCAGTGCAACTGCAAAAAAATAAGACTTATTAGCCAAAATCTAGTTCAGGTGGATAAACGAGTATGTAAAAGATGCTATGCTATGAGAAAACTCCAATTATAGGCAATTATAAGCTAGAGGGAAGGCAGGAAAATGAATTGTCATTGACTAAGCCTCTGGAAAAATCAGATTGAGTTTTAATGTGATACAGTGCACAGGTTAGTAATTTCAAAGAATAAAATGATCAAGATATAGGAATAAGTCCCATTCCAGGGGATCAGGATCAGTCACCTCAATCCTGGCGCAAAGGGCGAGTGCTGCTCCAGTGCCAGCTGTGCCAATGCAGGAACGAGTTAGTGCACGAGGAGAGACAGATTTTCGGCAGGGTCTTCTTGCTTTGCACATGCGACATTTATCAATGAAAGCCCAGAAGGAGGAAGTGCTCTGGTGGCATAGGGGATGGCTACCATGGTAGGAAAGGGGCAACCTAGGTCTTCATAGAAGGAGATGAAGATCTTGGATCCTAACACTGGAGAGAAGCTATGGCTTTATATGGAGGCTGCAGAGCCATGCTGCTCCTGGTCTCTGTGTTCAGAAGGCAATATTCTGTCTTGCTAAATTGAATGCACAATGATTTCAAAAAAACAGTCTCACAACAAAATTGTGAAATAATATATTGTTTGGACCAAAAGATAGCTGGCAGTGCAGGAACAGTAGCAGATGCGGAGACAAGCAGCCCTCTGCTGCAAAGAACATTAAATGCTATGAATCGCAATAAGGGTAAAGTCACAGAGAATTGCTTTCAACCATAAAACTAGGGAAGTAAAACAAGAAAAGCAAGCAGGTGATCGAGGCTATGAGAACGTTAAAGGGTTTTAAACATAGTGGAACCACAAAATGCAGACAAAGAGAAGGCATTTAGGCTGCAACCAAAAACCATTGCTCATACAAACACGCTGAACAAAAAGAAAGCACAATACAACAACAAAATAACGAGATGTTGGTGTACAGTCGGTATATTTGCACTGCACAGGAATGTGGATGGCACCTCCTCTGCTGTGTGCTGACAGCCGTACAACGCAGTGCCAGGGGTCCTGCGCCCCTTGGGCTGGGAATGGCAGCACGTGAGGAAACCGGAGCTCTTGTTGTGTGTTTTTCAAATGACACAGTTTTCACACTTGATTTTAAACACATACTGTGGCTCCTCTGCTGTCCTCTACAGGCAGCAGAGTGATGGGGACTCATACCTCACGGAGACCTGCTGGCCTTCTAGGTGGCTGTGATAACATCAGCCTTTTATTTGCAGTGCTTGTGGCTTTCTTTTTGAAACCCTTTTAATGCCGTTGGGCATGCAAAAGGACTCTAACCTGTGCTAAGGGTCCTGAGTGGACCAGAGCAAGTGCAAATCCAAGGGGATGCAAGGCAAGTGGTGCCTCTGTTCACTCTTGCTCATCCCTGTCTACTTGTGCATCGCATGTGGTCTGTGTCCAGACTCAGTCTTTCGGGTCAGGAGCTCGTTTTCTTTTGTGGTTTTGGCCCGGTGCTGTCCTCTCATTGGAGCAGCAGGACCACAGTGCCCGTGCTCGGTGAGTGGGAATAAGGAACCGCAGCTGCTCAGGAATGCTGATGCTCAGATGCAGCCGCTCACAGTTTTCTCGGAAATACATGATTCACTATTACCTTCCTTGCCAACATGCTATCTGCTGTGACAACTTGTTTCTTGCCCTGCCCTTGCAAATGTGTCTCTAAGATGTGGTGGTGCACCTGTGAGCACTGGCTATACAGCTCAGCTTGCCTTTCTTCACCTAAAACTCTCTGAGCTGCTCTGCCCTGCAGCATCCATGCCGGGCCCGGCACAGCTCAGACGGGAGGGCTGTGCTGCGCATTCCCCCACTCTGTGGTGCTCCAGGTTAATCCTCAGAAGCGCCAGGATGCACACGGATGGGCACAGGCAGGATGGGACGTCTGCGCTGCCGCCGGGCGGGAAGGAGCTGCAGCTCCCGCGCGCGTGGCTGTGGAGGAGAACGGGGCAGGTGGGGGGCTGCATCTCCCCGGAGCCTCCCTCCAAGCAGCTCCTCTCCAGGGCTGCCCCTGGGAGTAGGAGGGAGGAGACTCTGCTCGCGCAACGGTTGGAAGCAACAAACAGCAGAAAGTGCTTCTAATCTTGAGCAGTGTTCATAAGTTACGAACACCAATATTACAAGACATTTGCTATAGTGAGAGAGAAAATGGATGCAAACAACTCAGGGCTGCCCAATCCCTCCACTGCAGCAGGCTGAGACCTTTTCCACCAGCCACTGGCCTCTGTCCAGCCCTGGCACTTCAGGCTGCTGGCCGCTGTGATGCTGGTGGTGACTGCGCTGTCACTGGTTGAGAACCTGGCCGTCATCCTGGTGACTTCCAGGTTCAAGCAGCTGAGACAACCCATCAACTACATGATCGTCAACTTGTCCGTGGCTGACTTTCTGGTCTCCTTGACTGGTGGCACTATCAGCTTCTTGGCCAACCTGAGAGGTTATTTTTACATGGGACACTGGACTTGTGTGCTGGAGGGATTCGCCGTCACCTTCTTTGGTAAGCTTGCTTTTGCTTGTGGCTGCATGCTACCTTTTTTTTTCCTGTGCCTTAAGGAGAAGTTTTCTTCAGGATTTTCTTCAGGCATCCTCTCCCCTGTGCCGCCAGGAAAAAAAAAATAGGGCTACAAGGATGATCAGGGGCCTGGAACATCTGCCATATGAGGAGAAGCTGAGAGAGCTGGGCCTGTTCAACTGGAGAAGAGAAGGCTGAGAGGGGACCTGAGCAGTGTCTAGAAGTACCTCAAGGGAGGCTGTGAGGAGGATGGGCCGGCCTCTTTTCACTGGTGGCCACCGACAGAACTAGAGGTAATGGGCACAAACTGAAGCACCACAAGTTCCACAGGAACTTAAGGAAAAATTGTTTAACAGTGAGGGTGACAGAGCACTGGAACAGGCTGCCCAGAGAGGTTGTGGAGTCTCCTTCTCTGGAGATCTTCAAACCCGCTTGGACGCAGTCCTGTGCCACGTGCTCTAGGTGACCCTGCGTGTGCAGGGGGGTTGGACTGGATGATCTCTAGAGGTCCCTTCCAACCCTAAGCATTCTATGATTCTATGATTCTATGGCCAGCGGCTGTGAGGACACAGATGTAGCAGTGACACTTCACACCATGAAAGATCTCAGCTTCTGCTGTCTCTGTTTCCTGATTGCACAGAGCTTGTTAAGATCGCCCCAAAACAGGTAATCTCCACCTGTACCAAGGGTAAGAGCAACCTGTGGTGAGAGATCCTGTACAGAAATCCCTATATGGAGTGCCCAAGAGGGGTCAGCTCGTCTCAGCACGTATTGCAGCAGCCTTTCTGGGGTTATTCTGTAATATCAAGTACTTGAAAACATTGCCCATGGAGCATTCAAGGACTCATCTCTCAAATGATGAAGGTTTAAATTTTTCCTCTCAGAATTTCACTGGGTGAAATCAGTCTCCATCTCATGACTGCCCACATGCTTCTTATGTTGTTTAACGCTTCTGTAGAACTTTTATTCTTGGAAGTACTTTGTAAACATTAATTCACTACATCTTACTATCTCCCCCTAGAAAGATCCTATGTAAAATCATAAGAAAAGGACACAATCATTGGCAAATAAATGAAATTTAAGTTCCAACTCTGAACTTGTGCCAGAAGACTGCACTACCCACTCCTCTAACAGCTCATCCCTTAATGTCTAGATCAGGAGCTCCGTGGCAGTGTGTGGTGCGTAGTCCTTCTGTGGTATCAGAAGGATTTTAGGAGGAATCTTAGCAAATTTCTGAGCTTGATCCTTGACCTGGAAAGGAGCCCCATGGTTGCTCTTTGACACAGAAGAAATCTCTGCAAGGGGCAAGGATATTTAATCAGTTTGTGTGTGCATATAGGACCCATCCTATGGTAAAATATCAGGCTATCTTAGCATTCTGGTGACTAACTGGGTAATACCTGACTGATAAACTTATGATCTGAGGTTGTGAGAAGCTGTTGGTAGATTAGAGCTTGGAATGTGACGTTTCTTGCAAAGCTAGCATCTTCAGGACATGTCTGTCTCTATCAATTTGCAAGCTACATATAATTTGCAGCTTCTCAGAGTAGATATGAGTGAAAGCAGAAGTTGTCCTCAGACAAATGTCCCTGTCGCTGCTTGTGTTCATAGTCACTGTACTGTAGACTGATAAACAAGGCAAGTATGGGAAATTTGTGCTCTGAAGGAAATGTCAAAGTAAGTACACATGAATTGTGCATGCTCTCACAGCTTTGGTTGATAGAAGAGGCTGCTGTTGTGGAGCATAGCCTGCTTTTCAGTGCATCTCCTGTTTCTTCGCTGCAGGCCTTGCTGCCCTGTGGTCGCTTGCTCTCCTGGCCGTGGAGCGGAGCTTCGTGGTCTGCCTCCCACCAGGCAGCACGTGCCTTGCGGGTAAGCACATGGCCCTCGGCATCGCTTTCGTGTGGAGCTTCTCTTTCATCTGGACCATCCTACCCACCATGGGCTATCACTGCTGTTCATACCTGGCTTTACTTCAAAAGCATTAAAATTTCTTTGCTTAGAATAAAGATGTTTTGCTTATATCAGATTTTTATTCTTGTTCTATTTTACTAAGTTATGGTTTGAACATAAGGTATGATTTGACAAGGTGAGAGGTGCCCCGGCGCTGCGCTTGGGAACTTGCCTGGTCCCAGTGCAGCAGCCCCACTGCCTTAATCTAATTTTTATCCTTTATACTTCTGAGCAGAAGGATTGCTCAGATTCAAGTGCCCGGATCTGACCTGCGATTGATGGTATCTGAAGATACAAGTTACTCTACAAACAAGATCACGAGCTGCACACCTGAATTCACTGCAAGGGATCATGCAAGCCTTTATTTAATGCATCTCTCAATATTTAAGGAGGTGATTGCCTTTTACAGTATAAATTTGGCCTCAGTGAGCTTGAACTCTTGAAGTGCTCAATCTTAAACCCAAACTGTGACATTCATTCTGAGATCCTCATTCTTCTTTCACAGATTCCTGCTCTTCACCATTAATCCTGTGGGAACTGACTCAAATAAGTGAATAGATGTATATGCAAACATATATACTCTTGAAGTCAAATGTTTTGGAAATACAGTGAGGTAGAAAGGATAGGGAGTTGAATTACTATTTTTTAGTAAAGTACAGCTTTTGCTCATTAGCCTATTAAAATAGAAGTAAGATTTGAAAGCAAAAAATGCATTTATGACTCAGATTTTCTTTCATGCCTGTGTTGACCTAGGTTAATCACATGTTAATGATAATAGGTGAATTAAATCATGAGAAATTGGCACAAGTGTTAGTATTTAATTAAAAGCAACAGAAGTACTTTATCTCCTAAGAATCTGAGGATATATCGAGTACATCATTGCATTTCAAAATAAAGCAATCAAAATTTAAGCAACATAAAAGAAAAATGCCCATGTAAAGAATTCATGGAAAATCTTAGAAAATAACAACTTGAAATAAGTTTCACCATCTGATAACTGGCTATATCCTCCTCAAAGTCACTTATCATGAGGTGATCATGAAGTGATCATTTGAGAAGACCTTTTTTTTACTGCATTAGTAATTCAATTTTAATAAGTATATTTTATATACTCAGAATGCATTCATGTATCATGATGTTATGATGGGTGAGGAACAGGCTCAATCTGATTTTTAACACATATCCTTGTCTTTTTAATGACGAAAAATACAGCACTAGGAACAAAGCAGGTGTCCTCAGAATGAGCAAACCTGTGGGAGGTAGCACACCAAAAAGTCAAGCCCTCAAGCTGTGCTTCTTAGCTGCTCAGAAGCAAGTGCTAAAAAGAAAGGGCAAGATTTTCCCCTCCAAACTGGCTTAGAATCCCATGCTGCCATTCCTCCTGCAGGCCCCTAAGTGCTTCCATAGTCCAAGGAGGAGGCTTCTATGACTTTTTCCCGTCTGAAAGCAAATTTCCCTATACATCTTTTTCCCAAAGGCAACAGTTCAGATGTAATTCTAATTAGTTCACTTAAAAGATTTTTGAAAAGTTTGTTTAGAACTTGCAACATTTTCTGTCTTTTTAGATTACAAATTACTAATTTTTAACTGCTAAAGTTGGAACAAAATGAGAAAATGTGGAAAGAAAACCCAAAACACCTGTCTTCTTATCCATTCTTAGGGGTTTCAAGTCATCTTCATTTGCCAGCTGACATTAATGTGCTGTGAGATCCCAGCTAAGGGATTTCACAAACAAATAGGAATGTCAATCAACTTCCTCACTGTTTGCACCTGACTGTTCTGTTGCTATTCTGCTCAGTTATTAAAGGTGCAGCAGGAGTGTTCAGACATACAGAAAATAAACAGTGATCACATATGTCACAGTCCACTCAAACACAGTTGCAGCATGCTCTGTCAGAAGGGGCATGGAAGAAGACAGCTCATTATGAAGAAGCCTGTAAGAAAAGCAGGAAGGATACCAAGATAGAGGATATAATCAGTATCACCAAAAAAAGACATACTAAAACAAGGGGGAAATGCAATCTGGATAGCTGGGCTTTGTATTGTCAAGCGGAAGAATGGAGGAGATATTTGGGAGGTGAAGGAGCACATGAGAGAAACAGGAAAAAGCAAGGACTCATCCTGGAGTTGGAGCAAAGGCTCCAACTGTTGGGAGTGGTGGCACTAGGCTGGATATATCACTAGCTTATTTTCAACAGTTCTTCATGTGATAAGATATACTGAAAAATGTCAGAGCAGGGTCTACCTGACACACACAGGTTCATCACCAAAAGTTGTGTTCACCAGAGCTCATGCAGAAACAGACCACATCAAGCTCTGCATGTAGCTCATGGCCCTGCTACCACTGCTAGCACCTGGGCTGTGCTCCTCTAGCATCAGGCTGCTACATTTATGGTTGTCTTACATCATCTTGCCACTCTGTTAGGCAAATAGTTTGACGTGTAGCAAGCACAAACATAAAAATGTAGGCTGCAACAGGCTGATACGGAAATTAGTGCTTCTAGACAAATAAGAAATTAATATTAGCATATAATTAGTCTTCATTTAATTTGGAGATGGAATTAATTAGTCTTAATAGCACCACAGAGGCATCACAAATGTTTTCTTTCCATCAGGCAGGGCCCATACTGAGAGACCACTAATCAATCACTCTGATAAAATCCATGGGGACAGCAGTTTTTCTCATTGTCCATAGCTGCTCCTTATAAGTACTTTCTAATTAGGGCCAGATTTTGTTTGATTTATTAACATGAGCATTCCAATAATTACTGACAAAACCATTTTCTTGAACACAGCATTGCTTCTTACTTTCCGCACATAAGAAAAAGTCTTGCATAACTGCTCACTGATCCTTGGGCATTATCCCTCCCTGTCTGCAGTGGGACACTACATCAGGGGTTCCCATCTTTGAAACAAACAAGCAATCAAAAGGATCATTGGGAGGTTTTGTGTAAAAATTGCCTCATAAAAAAAGACAGAGATGCATTTCAGGGGAAGGACTTTTTTTTTTCTGATTGCCAGTCAGAGAGCACCTTTTAAAGCATGTAAATATTTTGACACAGCGGTATTAGTCCAACTAAATATTTGTGCCACAGACTTCCTAGCAGCAGATTGTTAAATCTTTGAATTTAACACAAAAACAAAATTTCAGAATTACAAACTAAAAAGGGGGATGCAGCTTCTTTTAATTTTTTAAAAGAGATTTGACTGAAGGAACACCATTGATTAATGGCATTACCTGGTAAGAACATTGCACAATCATTTACCTTATGCAAAAAAGCAAGCTATCCAATGGATGGGGTTAAAGATTTTAATATTTCATGACTGGCAAAAGTGAATTCTGCCCAAGTAGATGTGTTCGCCCTTGGGGGCTGGCTAATAAACAACCTCTCATCTCATGTCCTTCCTTTTTTTTCCTTGCCACCAACAGTGGTCCTAGGAAAGTGTATTATAGCATTATCTATGCTTTGCAAAAATAGCATGCTAACACTACAACCTTTGTCTGTTTTGTGATCTGTTATTACATTTTAATGATGCAGTCTAGACAAACTAACTGACCTTCCTATAAATCTTCCATGGCATCAGGGGATAATTGCTTTGTGTTTTTGCTTAGAGAAGTCAGCAGTAATCCATCATTTTACTCTTTTACAATGGAAACAGTACTTTTATTTTCTGGAAATTAATATATAAAATATGGTTGCTGTAAGAGCTAATCTGTATTTACAGACAGCATTTTCTTGTGAAAAATGTGTTTTTAAGGCATTATGTTGGGAAATAAAAATTAGTTTGGGGTATTTTTTGGCATAGAATAGCAAGGCTTTCAAAAAAGATTTCAAAATCAACTATCTGAGTAAGTCTGAGTAATTTAACTTTTAATTTGTGAGGTGAAATAGGTACTTAGCACTTCAAGACACATAATTCTGTCAAAAGCATTTTCACTGACATGCTATGCTGAGGTTTAAAGAGGACTATGCTAGCTATTTTCTGCAGTGTTGAGTCTAGAGATATTTCAAAGAGCAGAATTTAAAATGTCAAAAGCACAGATCACCAAAATCACAAATCTTCCCACTAACAAGGAACAGGGCTTTATCATCCATTTGTTTATCCAAATTCTAGTTCATTCATTTGAACCTTACAATAATCAGGTTGTTCTTGCAAGTACATTTACATGAGGTTTGGCTAAAAATGCATTTGATCATGTTACAAGTAACTAGACCTTGTCCACTATACTCTCCACACTCAGTCTTTATTACCAACAGCTTTGAAAGTAAAAGGACAACTAGTGATCAGTTCGAGGAAAGTGTTCTTCTGTGTTTCCAGCTTTATGGTCCTGCTTTTTCTTTGTCTCCTGACCAAAATATCCCCAAAAAGCCAGACCTCCTTTTTCCCCTCCAGCTTGCTATTATCTGCAAGGTCATGACCAAACTCAGATGGAGCTTCTCCTAACACACACACGCCTGCGGAAGGCAGGAGGTTTGCTGGGATCCTTCAGAGAGGCAGGGTGACCAAGGGTGATTGTCTCAGCCAGTGCAGGCCCAACAGTCACAGATGTGCTGAGTTTCTGTGACACTCCCCCACCATCATTCCTGTCTTAATGTCTCCACGGAGATTGGTCAGGCAGACAAGAGTGCTCGTAGTCTAATGAGTGGAATATTTAGCAGCTGAAACCTTTTCTGTTTAAATCTGACCTCAGTGAGAAAGATACAAGAAAATGAAGCTGTGAAAATCGACAATAATTCTCATCTCAGTTATTGAGAAATACAATTTTTAAATGATTAGTGAAGAGATGATTCTTAGACAATGTTATTTTTATACTTCATATTATAACTTGTCCTATCCTTTGCCTCTATTACTCTTACATTGAAGCCTCCTTCCTTTTCTTTGTCCCAAAGAGCTAAAAGCTGTAAGAGAATTTAAGAGCTTTTCAGTAATTTGGCACATCACTTTAGCTTGGTTATTATCCAGCTGCATCAAGATATTAATGTAGTCATCTCTCTTTAGTCTCAATGGATTGCTGTAAAAATGTCAAACAATTAGATTATACTGGCCAACACAGCCCTGTTTGATTGAGTATAGATGTAGGCCATGTCCCTTGAATCATACTGATGAAGAAGCAGAGAGGCTTGTAGGACTCTGCTGCGAATTTATTTCAATAGGCATACCATTTATGTTTCTACTGTCAGTACTTGTAATACTAACAACCAAAAAATGCTAAATAGGTATTTTCAGGTGGAATAAAGTCAGTGTCATTTCAGGGCAAACAGCAGATGTTGCTCAGCTGAAGAAATCTGTTCCCACTCTGTCCCATCAAATTTTTATCCACATCCATTTGAGCAGGCGCCTACTCTGGAGCAGCAGCACAGGAGAGACCATGCATCTGAGCAGAGATGGATTTACAAGTGATGCTACTTCATGCGATTAAGGCTAATCATCATAAAGACAA